TCACAAATAAATAAATAGATAAGGAAAACCCTATTTACATAAATAAATACAAAATGTTCCATTAGACACTTTCAAAGATAATGTTGGAAATACAAAACCGATCATCTTACCTTAATAAAAATTCGGAAATTTTATTTTGACAAAAACAAATGGTCAATTTGTTATAAGCATATTGGAAGAAGATATTCTATAATATGTATATATCTAAACTGGAATTTTGGATTAAATTATTTTCCGACGGGAAAAAATCATAGAAATTCCAATTGCATTTACATGAAAAAAAGAAAGCTGTATGTACGGATGAGAGAAATAATCGATATTTAAGGTAATTTTCCCTAGAACATCATTTTCCAGTAATTTCTTAAATCATTTTTTTATAACCATTTGAAGTGGCAAGTCGCAGAGATGAATTCTTGTTAATCTTGTTTTTAAAAAAGCATTATACTAATTGCAAATAATTAATTATTCGTGATAACTATGTCTCAACGGTTTTAGAAAGTTTATAGCTGACACGTTTTCCCACTTTTCTTCTATACGCAACTATATATATATATAAATAATATTCAAACTTATACGTTATGTTTGACTTTGTCACCCATGAAACTAATTCAACTAATTTCATAATTCCACCATAATACATAAAGACTGGTATTATCATGATGAATGCTTAGATATTCGGTTCGAAAATGATTCGGTTTGATTCTTTCGGTTTTATAAAAATATGTACCAATCAGTCAGTTCGATTCGGTTTCGTTTTGTATTAAGAAAATTTTAGATATTTTTTTAAAAAAATTTATTTTTCAGATTTTTTTTAAAAATTCGGTTCGATTTAAAAAATTGAATATTTAAAAAAAAAAACACGGTTCGGAAATTTTGGACAATTCGATTCATACCGTATTATTCGGATCATCATCATCATCATCATCATTATCATCATCATCATCATCGTCGGATCCCATAAAGGACCAAGTGAACAAAAAGAATGGAGGCTGTCTGCGTTGTTTCTATTTAACATATAGATTCGATTTAACATATAGTTAAGGTGGTGGAATAACATATATGTGTTGTTTCTAGATATTCTAATGGGAGCTAGGTTATTTAGATTGCATACATGTTTTCACTAAATGTGAAGTGTAAAAGGATTTTAATGTTTTATAAATTACGGTTATATTATATATGATTACTCTTTAGTCCGAGATATGTAACATATGTTAGCATGTTCGAAACTATGGGCTTAGATGTAGACATTTGAATTAGCCCAAGGAATATTCTACGAGCCCAATCAGCTTATGAGCCATCATTATGGTCCACAAATTAACTGGGCCGAGACTAGGCCCATTAATTTGCTTACTATTAAGCCTACTTCGGCCCAATTCGCTACTTCGAGGGCAAAATTTCCCGCCAGAGGACGAAGCGATCCACCTCGGAAGGACTTATCGTTTTCTTTTTAATTGACTAAAATACCCCAAAAGGTAGCCAAAATGCTGAGGTGGCAGGCTAACGTACGAGAGCAAAACAGTAATAAGTAAAATAGAGTAATTAGGAGGAAAAAAGATCCCGAGACACACGCCCTACGAATCTATATGAGAGAGAATGAGCGTGCGTATCGACGCGAGTGCACGAAGGTACGAGCACTTACAGTTAAGTCCGTTAGCCATGGATGGAGCTTGTGGGAGACGACCGGAGACGGTGTCGGCTGCGAGAGAGGTGGAGGAAGTTGGCGCCGCCGTGCCGGGTGGCGGAGGAGACGGCGGGGAAGATCTGGCGACGTTTATCGGGGAGGGGACAAGCGGCGGAGGGAAGGAGAGAGTCAAAGGACCGTGGTCGCCGGAGGAGGACGCGGTGTTGAGTCAGCTCGTGAGTAAGTTCGGGCCGAGGAACTGGAGCCTGATCGCGCGCGGAATTCCTGGTCGGTCTGGCAAGTCTTGTCGTCTCCGTTGGTGTAATCAGCTCGATCCATCGGTGAAACGCAATTCGTTCACCGGTACGTTTGTTGTGTCGCTTTAATAAGTGTTGGATTTGGGTTTTCTCAGTTCGTGATTCGATCGGTACCTGAAGTGTTTTTGTGGTCTTCGTTCTGAATATTGATAGACTTGGGAATCCGAGGGTCCGTATCGATGAATTTAGGGTTTTGGTCGTAGATCCCCCAACAACCTCCCTCCCCAAATAATTAAGGTGAATTTCGATCTTCAAGATACTGACGATGGATTATCCTTTGGGGTTGTTTGTATAATTGTGAAATGTAAATGATTCGATCGAATTGTGTTCTTGCGGACATCGTTTGATGAAAAGCTAAAAAAGGTCATGACTTTGACCTCCTTATATATTCATGTCTATAGGTATTTCTGAGTTCATACCCTGGGGTTTTCCGGATCGCAAAAGATTCATATTTGTTTTAAAACAGAATCCAACTGGACCTTGTTTCTGCTGTGCACTTCTTCTTTTGAATGGAATGTGAATCTTATGTGCTTGCCCTGACGCTAATTGGCATAGCAAACTTGGAATTTGGCCAAACTGTTTTAGCTCAGTGGGAAGTTCTTGTGACCGAATATGCGTCTGAGGGCCACCTGATTGTTCTCAAAATTATTTTCTATTTTCGTTTGGCCTGCCTGTGATGATCCGAAGTACTAAACCAGGCATTCTCTTTGGATTTTGTATATGCAGAGGAGGAGGATCAGAAGATCATCGAAGCACACGCTACCCATGGAAACAAATGGGCAGTGATCGCTAAGCTTCTCCCTGGTAGAACAGATAATGCAATCAAGAACCACTGGAATTCTACTCTTAGGCGTCGGTACATGGATCTTGAAAAGGCTAAGAATGGATCTGGAAACGTGGTTGGAGATTCTAGCTTTGACAAAACAAAAGTCTCGTCAGAAGAAACTTTATCTTCAGGCAGTGGTCATGTTGCTCCACTTGTATGTTCAGAGGGAAGAGAGACAACCTCCATGGAAATGCCCAAGGAACAATGCAGAGAGAGAACAAACGCAGAAAGCATTTCTATGCAGGAAAGCAATGAGCCTTCAACCCTTTTCCGCCCGGTAGCTCGTATGAGTGCTTTCAATGTTTACAATCACATGGCGGGCTGCTCCAAAACTGCATCTTCTGAAATGAATGGACAAGATCAAATGGAAGCATCTAAACAGGAAAATACGGAATTGAGATTGTCTGAAGGAGCTTATAACGAGCATTTTGTGCCTCAGCAATGTGGACATGGATGTTGCAGCAAACCCTTGGATATTCACCCCCCTCGAAACTCGCTGCTGGGTCCTGAATTTGTGGACCAGCTGGAACCGGAAGGCTTCCCGAGCTATGATCTGGTGGCAATAGCAACGGATATAAGCAGGCTGGCATGGCTGAGGAGTGGATTGGAGAATAGCAGCGTGAGGGTAATGGAGGAAGCTGTGAATAGGCTAGCCCCGCAAGGTTCTGGGGGACATCTTGGTCGAGCAGATCATCATCATCACCATTCTCATCATCATCTCATATCGGACAGGGGTAAGAAAATGGCCAATGTTCTGTCCACATAACTCCTTATGGAGAGTTCAAGTTTGGTCTAGGATCTTCAGAAGTTACAGAGAGAGAGAGTTTCATGTTAGAGCGAAATTCATCAAGAAGCATGTTTTTTCTTTTGGTTTTTTGGTGCTCTAACAATACTCTTTGACTATACTTGAGGACATTGTGGGATCTGTATTTTGATAATTTGGATTAATAATATGAAGTAATTAGATATACATATATAAAGAGATTAGGCCTTAAAAGCCTGCACAATACAATTTAGCTGAACCCTAATAAGGCCCATTAATTAAAACTACGTTCGGCCCATTGACAGTGTCCCACTTGTTTGAACGAGCCTTTTTGGAGTCTACGTTCTACTAATTTATCAATTTATGAGTGCAGAAATATGGATTATAGTTAATTTAACGAAATGGAAAAAAAAATAGAATATTTTTATTGGAATGAAGGCAACCAACATGTGTCTTAACATCAAAAAAACGTTATTTTACAGAGAAAATCTTCAACGACAGCAAGAATAATAATATTAGTATCCATATCAGACTCAGAGCTCTGCCTTAACGGGCGTTGGAATTATCTCTCTGCTGAGGAAATTCTTGTACCACTTGGCCGATTCTTTCTCGTGTCGGGTCAAGTTGTTCTTGAAATCGATGTAATAGAGCCCGAACCGGGTTTCGTATCCGTCTTGCCACTCGAAGTTGTCCAACAACGACCATATGAAATATCCCGTCACATTCACTTTGTCGTCGCTGCAATATATAACCATTCACATATTTCGTCAGACTATATATTAATTAATATCCCTTGCATGGATTATTAAGTATATGTATAAATATGACTAACCAAACTGCTTGATGCAAACTCAAGAGATGCCTCTGAAGATAGTATTTCCTATTGTGGTCGGCAAGTGCAACGGTTAGGTTTCCGTCTTGGTCTCCAAGAAGCTCTCCATACCCTGTTATAAAACTCATGGTGAGCGAAATATACATATATATACTGATATACATATATATATATATATTAAAAAAGGGTTTAGTTTTCATGTTTAATTACTGCTGGGTTAAAAAAAATTCTTACCATTTTCGGCGATTATAATTTCTGGATTGTTGTAGTTATCCTTTATGTATTTCAAGATTTTCCTGAGACCTCGGGAGTAGACGGCCATAGCAGCAGTAAAAGGCTGAAATACAGAGCAAAGTTTAAGTAACCTAATCATAATAAAGATCATATATTATTTAACAAAAAATAAAGATCATGTATTAATGGGGGAAAAAAACTCAAATTTATTACAAAAAAAAAACATATCACCTTGCTACCAATGCTATAGTTTTGTGGGTTCTTGGCTGAGACATGAAGAGGGCAAGAATGAAATAAAAAGGTGTTAGTGTCCAAAATACTCACATATCAAGAGATACTAATTAATATTTCATTAAGCATATAATATAGTAATAACAGCAAAGAGTGTGTCTAACTTACGTTCGAAGTCGACAAGTGAATCGGACTGCCAACTTGGTTTTGTTGGATCAGTGATGTACCTATGGTTAGAGAAGTGAGCAGTATAGTAATTGACTCCCACGAAATCGGCAGAGTTTCTCAGTTTCTTCTTCTGTTCCTCCGTGAATACGGGCAATCGATCTCTGACTATATCCTTCATTATCTTCGGATAGTCTCCGTGTGTGGTCGGATCTAGATGCCTATATATATATATACACGGATATATATTACAAATTCTGTCAAGGTCGATTACATGTTATAACCGATGATGAAAATTAACAAGGGGTTTGTGTTACCATACCATCCCATGATGAAAGAGAGGACTCTATCAATAGATGCTCCATCTTGTGCGTCCTCGAGGTCGTGAGGCTCAAACCAAATGGGGCAGTGAGCTATGCCAATCTTCCCACCTTTGCACTGCCACAAAAACAAAATCGGACAATCTCGTAATTAAATTCTAACTTTTTGGATGGTACTAACCAAGAACAAGAACAAAGACTAAAACCAAATTAACAACAAACCCTAATCAGGGTTTTACCTTGTCGCAGCTTCTAAAGGCTTGGACAGCGTCGGCGTGAGCGAGAAGCAAATTGTGACTAACGTTGTAGGCTTCGTGTCCGGACCGCCCTCCGAGGCATTCGTGTTTATCCTGGGCGTAGTCAGAGCAACGTCCAGGCGCTTTCTTTCCAATGTCATAACCGGCACGACTGTACACCCACGGCTCGTTAAATGTCATCCAGTGCTTCACTTTGCCACCGTACTCTTTGAACAAAAACTTTGAATACTCCGTGAAATCTTCCCTGCGAAAAAAACCGAGCATTTATTTACAGAGGACAATGATCAATACTAAACCAAGCTATAATATAAGCCGTCCATGCATGAAGGATAAAAACATCGGCATTTGAAGAAACTTTACACTATGCGTTCGCTCAAGAAACCGCCGTATTCGTCCTCTAAATCTTGGGGAATATCCCAGTGGAAGATGGTCACTAGAGGCGTTATTCCTGATTCATGAAATTAATATATAATTTGTTAGTTACACTAGAGACCAACATGATATAAGCCACAATCAAATATATATATATATATATATATATATACCAAAC